CTTGCAGTAGGCCGCCACGGTGCCCCCTCCCCGGCCCGGGGCCCGACGGACGCCGATGGCCCGATGGCCTTCTTGAGGCGGCCGACGTGGAGCCGCAGCCCCGCCGCCTTGGCCTCCTGCGCGCCCGCCCAGCCGCGCTTGCGGCCGCGGCGCGGCGGCTCCGCGGGCGGCGCCGCGGGGGCCGGCGGCGGCGCCGCGCGGGGCGCAGCCCCAGGCACTTCGCCGAGGAGATCCTCGACGAAGTCCATCGGGCCCGGGAGTGGGATCTGGACGCCCGAAATTGGCACGGAAAGAATGGGCACAATGCCCAACAATGTCCCAGACCAACAGCTGCCGCTGTTGGGCAGGCGGCCTTAGGCCGCGGCGGCGTGGACAGCGACTCCTGCTCAGAACGAACAGGAACTGTTGGGCCGTGCGCCCATCCTTTCCGCACCCATTTCGGGCGTCCAGAAGGGAGGGGCTGGGCGGCTCGAGCAAAGACGGGCCGAAGAAAACGGACGCTTAAGGACACGAAGAAAACGGACGCTTCAGGATCCAGGATCCAGGATACAAAGAAAACGGACGCTTAAGGACACGAAGAAACGGACGCTCAAGGACACGAAGACCTCCTCCTCCTCCTCTTCCTCCTCCTCGTTGCCCACAGCCTCCTCCTCCTCCTCCTCATGTTCCTCCTCCTCCTCGTCCTCTTCCTCCTCGTTGCCCTTCTTGCCCCCCCCCCCCTGCCTCAGCGCCGCCAACCCCACCACCACCGCCGCCACCTTCTCTTCCTGCCCCACCTCCTCTTCCTTCTCCCCTCTTCCTCGCTCACCCCTCTTCACCGCCACCGCCGCCCCCCCGCCCCATCAATGCCTGGTTAGCCGGGGAAGAGAAATTACCATGCGACGTACCCAACCCAACGGCATCAAGTGGCAAGCGGAGTAGGGAAACCTTTACAGAAACAGTGGCAGTGCAGGCGGGTCGATGTCTTGTGCGATAGGGCTATAGGCTATAAGAAAATAGTAGCACGTTGATAGCACAATCACAAAATAATAAAAACGTCAACTTAATAGTAAGTCTAGGAAACCACCAAAAAGCATCACACCCTCTAGAAACCAGCCGAGAAGTCGGAGGGGTGTGTGAAGCAAGTCGTTGTCTTCACATCGTAGGCAAACATCTACACTTGAGTATACACACCCGTAAACGAAACGAATGCAATCCTAGCCGGGAAACGCAAAAGCAATCAAGGTGGCGCCTCAATGGCGCATTCTTTGTCGGCATGCTTTACTAGTTGTTCAACAACAAAATACAACAAATCAGTAGCACGCTGGCAACGCAAATGTATCTATATGCACCAGCACAGAACGAATGTCTATGAATGCGGACACCCGACTCGGAAAACAAAACTCAAAATTTTAGACCTCGCCATCCCTGGTGGTCTGCGATCTGTGCAACTGTCACCATTTTCGAGGGCTGCTGGGGGGTCCAGAGGAGTGACGCCCTACGCAGATTCAGATTAGACCTCGCGACGTCGTCATCCCTTGGGGGGTGCGATTTGTGAACTTGTCGCCACTTTCGAGGGCTGCTGGGGTGGCCAGCGGAGCGACGCCCCACGCAGACTTAGATTAGGCCTCGCCGCCCCTGGGGGGCTGCGATCTGCGAAACTGTCGCCGCGTTCGAGGGTTGCTGGGGGGTCCAGCGGAGTGACGTCTTACGCAGATTCAGATTCGACCTCGCCATCCCTGCGGGGTCTGCGATCTGCGAAACTGTCGCCACTTTCGAGGGCTGCTGGGGGGTCCAGCGGAGTGACGTCTCACACAAATTCAAATTAGACCTCGCCATCCCTGGGGGGGTGCGATCTGCGAGACTGTCGCCACTTCGAGGGCTGCTCGGGGGTCCAGCGGAGCGACGTCTGACGCTGATAATCTGAGTCTGCGTAGGGCGTCACTCCGCTGGCCACCCAAGCAGCCCTCGAACATGGCGACAGTTTCACAAATCGCAGCCCCCCCCAGGGGATGGCGGATGGCGAGGTCTAATCTGAGTCTGCGTAGGGCGCCACTCCGATGGCCACCGCGGCAGCCCTCAAAAGTAGCGACAGTTGCACATATCGGCGCGGGGCGCCACTCCGCTGGCCACCCCAGCAGCCCTCGAAAGTGGCGACAGTTTCACAGATCGCAGCCCGAAGAGAGGAGAAGGGAAGACAGGAGGAGGCGGGAGGAGGAAAGAGACGCGACATCAGCGTTCTATTCATAACGAGTACTCAACGCAGGAGGGTTTGGAACATACAACCGTGATCCCACTCTTTAGATCCCTGCTCACCCACCACCCGGAGGAGGAGGAGGAGGAGGAGGAGGAGGAGGAGAGGAGGAGGAGGAGGAGGAGGGGGAGGAGAGAGGAGGAGTGGGGAAGGTATGGGGGGGGGGGGGCGGATGAGGCGATGAGGGGGGACACGGTGCTTCCTTGCGCTTCGAGTCGGGTCTAGAGCCACGCGCGCTTTGCGCTGCATCCTCGGTTTCAAATTTCTACTACGGCAGCGCGAAAAAGGAACACTCTTCTCGTTCGTCTCCGCCCTCCCTACTTTCCTTCCTCTTCCCCCTCCCACCAAAAGCCTCCCAATGCCCTCGCCGATCCAATTCCGAATCCCTGGGGGAAGGGGGGGGGGCAGGGGAGGTGGTGAAGATTGATGAGGATAAGGTGGGTAGGAGAAGGAATTGGGAGAGAGGAGATCAGGAGGAGAAGGAGAAGGAGGAGGTAGGAGTAGTAGGAGGAGGAGGAGGAGGGGAGGACCGTGATCGTCCCTGCCCTGCAAGGCCGAGCAAGGCCACCCCCAGTCCATCCTCCCTCCTCCTTCTCCTGCTCCTGCCCTGCTCATGATCCTGCTGCTGCCCCTCCTCCTCCTCCTCCTCCTCCTCCTCCTCCTCCTCCTCCTCCTCCTCCTCATCCTCTCCTCGTGGTGCCTCCCCATCTCTCTGTGTCCTCCTCCTCCCCCCCCCGTCCTCCTCCTCCACCTCCTTCGTCCGCCTTCCCTTCTCCTCGCCCTGGCACCGCCGGTGGGTCGGCGACGCCCGACATGATAGACGGACTCGAGCATGGCAATCCAAATTCTGCCCCCCGAAAAATCGCACAGTCCAGCGAAGAGGGGCTTATTTTTCTTCGCCGCCGGGGGGTTCGGAAACGTTGTTTTTTCTGCCCCACCCCCCCGCCGGGGGGTTCGGAAACGTTGTTTTTTCTGCCCCACCCCCCGCAGCATATCGATGTCAGCGGCCCCCCCCCCCCCGCAGCATGTCGACGTCAGTACCCCCCCCCTTTCGACGTCAGCGGCCCCCCCGCGGGGAGACCCTCGACCCCCCCGGGGTGCAATTGTATGGTGACCCACAAACATGCTTCGCGCCCTGCACAGTTTATGACCCCGAAGCGCTTAACATGACAACAACTTCACAGATGGAGGGCGGGTTATTTCCAACATGTGGTTCTCGCCTTAGCGCCGCGCATACCCGTGTTGGAAATATGCACAAGGAATTCACGGATTGAGGGCGGTTGGTTTTGAAAATGTGGCTCTCGCCTTAGCGTTGCGCATACTCGGTTTTATAAGTTTGCAAGAGGTTCACGGATTGAGGGCGGGTCGTTTTCAAACTGTGGTTCTCGCCTGGGCGCCGCCAACATACGCTTTGAAAGTTTGCAGTAGCTTCACGGATGTATGGCGGTTCCTTTTTCAAAATGTGGCTCTCGCCTGAGCGCCGCGCACATTCGTTTTAAAATGTTGCAAAAGTTTCAGGTCGCCCCGTCATCATCGTACCAGAAATGGTTTTTTGGACGGATGCAGGATTATGCGGGCGCAACACTTATGCTGATTCGCGGTATTGGCATCCTAAACATGGCGTCCTGGCACGATTCCAGATCGTTCAGACGCAGCAGTCAGGTTGATCTGTGGCGTTGACATCCCGAGAGCAATGTTTTGGCATGCTTCAAAATATTCTAACGATTGTCTTCCAACGAGGCAGTTCCCTCAATGGACATGAACCGTTGTAGGGCCTCTGAAGAGGGAGCTTGGAGGGAAGGTTCATTCCCACATCGTTGATGTCACTAGTCCTCCTCCTCCTCCTCCTCCTCCTCCTCCTCCTCCTCCTCCTCCTCCTCCTCCTCCTCCTCCTCCTCCTCCTCCTCATGGGGGGGGGGAGCAACAGGGAGAAGGGGAGGGAGGGGGGGAGGGAGCCAGGGCGCCCACCGCCCTCTCGAACTCCGCGCTCGGCAGCTGCCCGTCCCCCTTCTGGTCGAAACTCGCGAAAACCTGGCCAGGAGGAGAGAAGGAAAAGAGGAGGGAGGAAGGCGGAGGAGGGCGATGGAGGGCAGAGGAGGGCGGAGGCGGGCGGAGGAGGGCGGAGGAGGGCGGAGGAAAGCGGAGGATGGCGGAGGAGGGCAGAGAAGGGCGGAGACAGGCCGAGAAGGGCGGAGGAGGGCAGGCGGAGGGCTGAGGATGACGAAGAGGGTGGAGGAGGGACAAGGCGGGCGGAGGAGGGCGGAGGTAGGCGGAGGACTGAGGATGAGGAGGACTGTTTTCCTATATTTTCTGAAGTGTTTGTCTTCCCCCCCTCTTCCCATATTTTCCCATATTTTCTGGGAAATCGATGATGAATTGTGTCGGTGTGTTTTTCCCCTCCTGAAATAGGTCCCCCCCGACCTAGATTAGATCTCCAGGACGACCTGGAGACCAGAGCACCTCCTGAGCCCGAAGTGGCCCTTACTTCCAGCTTCCTGACTGTCCATCTCGAGGCGGGGCGGAAAGCACGTGTGACCAGGCGGGCAAGAGGTGAGGCCGCAGAGAGACCGAGGCACTCGGAAGCGAGAGTCGGTGCCCTGCCCGTGCCGTGCGGGTCGTACCGTTCCGCTCGAGACACCCACTTTCTTGTCGCGGACCTCGCGAGCGCGCAGGTCGGCCGAGCAGCCCAGGGCCACTGGACTGCGAATGAAGCACTGCAAGAGACTGGGAATCGGAGGAAAAGGCGGCCGCGGGGGCAGGAGGGAGGGAGGGCGGCCAGCTCAGACCGTGAAGGTCTTCGGGAGGCGTGCTGCAGCCCAGGCTTGAGCGAGTGGTGCAGCTAGCGCGCGAACGGGTTACGCGGGAAGAAGCCCGGCAAGCTGGGGGCATACCGAGCGGGCTCGCAGATGCCGGCACTCGCTATGCCCAGGAGTGGAAGCGCGTGACTGCGACCAGAAAGGCGAGCGCCGGGAGTGGCAAGGCTGCCAGGCGGGCGCGCGCCAGGGGGGCGAGGCGGGCCGGCCACCACAGGGGAGCTGCCTGCCAGGTCGGAGCTGGCGCTGGTGGCCGGAGCGGCCGAGGGCCGGCGGACCGGGGAGGGCGGCAGGGCTGAGGCCCGAGGGCGGCCTGCCCAGGAGGAGCGGTTCGGGGGGGTAGGAGGCAGGGGGGGGGGGGGGGCAGGAAGGGGGGCGGGGGGAGCGGCCGCCCCCCCTGCCTCCCTCGAGGCCCAGGGCGTGCCCCGAGGGGGGGGAGTCCGGGAGCAGGAAGGAGGGCGGAGGAACGGAAGAAGAGGGAGACAAGCTGCCGCCGCTGGGTGCAGCGCAACGACCGTGCGCGGCGGCTGGGCAGCCTGAGCTGGGCCGCCCGAGGCCGGACGGCGGCCGTGTCGCATTCCACAGGGAGCGGGATGGCTCCGGCAGGCGAACAGCCCCAGAAACGCTTAGAAAACGCATGACGCCGGGAGCGGGACAGCTCCCAGCCCGGCGGCCCAGGATGCGACAAAGAGTGGCGGCGATGCGGGAGAAGCCACCTAATTCGGGATGGACCTGGGCGGCCACGTGTACAAGGCCTCGTGGCTGGATAGGCCCCGAGCGCAACAATGCGACACTGACAAACAACAAAAAGCTGCGACCACTTAAGGAAAGGCTAGATAGCCGCAGCACTCAGGGTAAACCAGGAACGTGGGTCCTCCTAGGCAGGAGTAGCCCAACCGATGCCCGCGGTACACCTGCACAAAACAAACGCGCTATCGGGGCCAACGACTGAAAAGGCAGACGGGCTCCGGATCTGGCTGGGATGCTACTGGGAGGGCCAAGAGTCCCAGGTCGTCTGCCGCTTGGGCCAAGGAGACTGGCCGTGTTGGGGTCGCTTGCCGGGGCCCTTGCCGGGACCTCTGGCAGCGTATCTGCTGGCTTGCCTGCGGTGCCAGACAGTGCGGAACTGGCTCGGCCCCAGTCGACGTTGAGGCTCATGTCGTTGGCACATCTCTGGATGAAACTATATGGACAAATCGCAACAGCTGGGAATTATTCGTTGGTCTGGCACCTTCTGCGCAAAGCAGACGGAACGCCCGAGAACTGGGCAATACACCGCCGTCGTCGCGAACGGCCTCGACAGCAATGGGCGCAGGAAGGGAAGCGCATACGATGACGCAGTACCTCTGAGAACCTAGCTGATCTGAAGCATGCATGTCGTCTTTCCCCTCCTCCTCCTCGTCCTCCTCGTCGTCGTCCTCCTCCTCCTCCTCCTCCTCCTCCTCCTCCTCCTCCTCCTCCTCCCCCTCCTCCTCCTCCTATTCCGCCTCCTTCATTCCGACTCCTATGACGCCGATGTCCGCAATGCCCAGCTCTTTCCTTCGCGGAGACAAAGTCACGTGTCGCACGGTCGGTTGCGCACCGCTAGCGCAGAATTCGACTCCTCGCCCTGCCTGCACCGCCTCCTCCAGAGCAGTAGCTTCGGCAGTAAAGAAAGAGGTCGGATCAGCAGTACACAGACAGACAGACAGACAGACAGACAGACAGACAGACAGACAGACAGACAGACAGACAGACAGACAGACAGACAGACAGACAGACAGAGCTGTCTGCAGACCGGTCGCGATGGGCTGGGCCCATCGGGGCGCATGAGCAGCATCGCCTGGGCAGACCGAGCGAGAAAATTACGTAGTATAGCGAACTGGAACGACTGCCTGCTAATCACGCGAGGAGGAGGAGGAGGAGGAGGAAGAGGAGGATGGAGGGGGAAGGAGGGGGAGAGCGGGGGCCAATAGAAGTGCTTGCAACTATGATCAGTCGGCAACAACATCCTCCGACTGTTTTCGGACGATGAGCCAGGCTCCAGGCAGCCGTTCGGGACGATCCACGCATCCCAAGGAACGCCCAGGACGAGGCGCAGCTGATGGGAGCCACCCGAAAAGCGGGTCCGAAAAGCAGACAACCTCCGAAAGCATCCGAAGAGCAGTTCTACAGGAAAACAACAAACATGTATACATAAAACCTGTTGGAGGTCTGCGCAGCTGTCTTAGATCGGCGATGACCCCTCCCATGGCGCGCGGACCGCGCCAAGGGCGGCGCCGGAGGCGCCGCCAGGGGGGTCCAGCGCAGATCCGAGAAATCCGCGAGGAATTCCAAAAGTTGATGTGTTTCCCTCTCGTCTTCCCCGAGTATCAAAGCCCTCCCCTCAAGCTTCCCACCCTGCGCCCCCCCCTCCCCCCATCCACTCCTGCGGGGCGGCGCCTGCAGCCAGTTCTGTGGGCGCATCGTGAGGGC